TATATGATTTAACCAGGTAGATCTCCCTTAAATTTAGATTTTTATGGGAGACTTTAAAGTGTCCCTTAAAAAAGGAGATTTTAAAGTCTAAATTTTTTTACCAATATATATTTATTCCGCTCAATTAGTGTGTGATTTATTTATTTTCTATTATAAGTTTTATATCGCGAAATATATCGTTACCGCCATTCATTAAAATATATATCGTGATATGAATTTTTTGCCATATCGCACATTCCTACCTCCCACAGCTGCTTGTTTTGTGTTTAAAATAAACATTTGGGTAAAATTGAGATTTTAATTTTCATTTGTATTTATTGTGAAGTTGGTTTTAAATTTTATTTTAAGTAGCATTAAAGAAGTCTTAAATGTAACTGTCTTTAAGCTGTAGAAATCCTGTTTCTTTTTATGTTTTTTGAGTAAAGTAAGTTGATGTGATTTGTCTCAACGTCCATCCATCAATTCATTTTCTTTCACTGCTGCTTGGTTTCCGGGTCACTTGTCTCCATCATTCACCATCACTCAGCTGTRAGGTGACGTCTCTGCTGCTGTGCTCAGACTGTTAAAACAAAATGTTGTGTCCTGCTCTGTTCTTGTTGGTAACTGAAGCCAGCTGGATGGTTTACGGTAGCTGCCATGTTGAATTGTGGACTATAGATGTAATGGATATTCAAACATTTGGCAACAAAGTAAGAATTGTATGGATCAGAAAGAATCTGAAATGTGTCTGAGGCATGTTTTTTTAATTTTCTCAGAGCAATGTTCCAGTTTTTTATTTTGTTCCTGCTCCTGTGTTCTGCTCAGAGCTCTAGTTTATGGTCTGTGGTTCAAGAACACTGACTGGTCGAACAAATAACCAATAAAACTAACACTGTTAAAGTAGGAGCTGCTGTTCTTTGATTGTCTGCAGCACAAAGTAAATTAATCTGTTGGATGAGTCATGTAACTCCTTTTTCTAAATGTTTGTACAGCTCTTTCAAACAATGCTTTAAGATATATGCCTCAGAGCTCCAGCCTCAGCAGCCTGTTCTGTGCACAAGCTCCTGACACACGAGTGTTTTACCTCACAGGGTTTCCCCCAGAAACATGGCTAAGCCCGGTGGTAGGGCCGCTTTGGTTGCCCATCATGTTTTTGTTAAAAATGTTAAAACGAATGGCTGTGAGATGACAGTCTGGAGGAAACTAAATGAAAAAAAAATTCTTATTTTATTAATTAATTATGTATTTATTTATTTTCTTGTGGATTTTTGTTGGTTTGTTTGCTTTCTTTTCATGTTTGTATGGGAGTCAGCACTAGGTTTTGTATTTGTTCTTTGTGTTTATAACTGATGTAAAATCAATAAAAAATAAATGAATAAATTTAAAAAGACAGGACTAAAAGTGTAAACATATGGGATAAGATAACTGTCAGAATCATTGTACGTGTAAGAGTCTAAATTTGTACATGTAATTCTATAAACATACATAAATTTGTTACAATTTTGCCACATTACAAGTACGAATCAAATTTACAAGTACAATTCTTATGTGAGAATACAAATTCTTAAGTTACAAATACAAGTTAAAAAGTTACAACTTTGCCACATTACAAGTACGGATCAAATTTACAATTACAATTCTTTTACATGTCAAAATAACAGACATTATGAATGGAACACCGAAAAGATGGATTACAAACAGTAACTAAGCCAGACCACTAGGGGGACCACAGCCTCATTTGGGACCAGACAAACTCTTTATAAATAACAATTTGCTGAAGGGAAAAGCATTTGGAGGCTTTTGCATTAATTCTTGTAAATTTGATTTATACTTGTAAATTTGATTCGTACTTGTAAATTTGATTCGTACTTGTAAATTTGATTCGTACTTGTAAATT